CCACTACCAGACAGACAAGCACAACGAACTCTTTTATCAATACTTAAAGCAATATGATCTCCAGGTATAGAGTCCCCAGGGTCCTGTACCCACAGCAATACCTGATTAAAAACCAGTTTAGGGTGGATCCGGCCGGAAATATCCCCGCTAGTAACTTTCGAGTCATTTTTGCCCTTGAAGTGAGATTATATTTGTTCGTATATGTCAAAACACCTAAAGGGTGAACATGAAAATCCTCTAGCGTATCACTATCCCGGTGTAACAACGAGAAAGGTAAGAATTTTGCTTATATAGAAGAGACAACTGTGTGTATCTTTGTACCGTATTTTATTTCTAATGTCACAAACTACTACTATTCAGTATTCGTGTTGCAGCCTTGAGAGATTGTAGGTACAGTCGGTCAAAAAAAGTACCTGTTGTCTGTGCTCTGTTCCTCTACCATGTCCCCAAACCAAACGTCCGATCTGTCATATTGTCATGAACAATATTTCTCAGATACTTTTTTGAGCGACTGGACGTATTCTCTCTATTACTTTCTCTCTCTATACTTCTCTGGCTTTCTCTCTTAATCTCCCAGTCTATTTCTCTCTCAATTTCTCATAGCCCATGTATCTCTTTTTCAAAATCTCTCTCTCTCTCTCTCTCTCTCTCTCTCTCTCTCTCTCTCTCACCTCGTCAACCTTGCAACAATGACGGGCATGCGGCGCACACATTGCCCTACCAAAGGATTGTATTGCAACCTGACGTGTAGATGTGACGCGTGTTGCAGGGCGGTGGATGACGGTGCAACATTCACCCTTGTAAGAAAACTCGTCTTACGGGTGTACGCTTTATTTCCTCTCTACCTCGTGTTCTTATATGAATTAGATGCCATGCTGAATGTTAAGGGTCTCCAGTAAGGTGTGTCTGATATATACACACACACACACACACACACACACACACACACACACACACACACACACAAAATCATACAAAGACACGCAAACACCTGTTAATATTAACTCCTTGCCCTAATTTTACGACAGAGAGAGAGAGAGAGAGAGAGAGAGACTTTTTTCTATTGAACAGCATCGTGGGATGAGTTGTCAATATGGATAACCTGTCTGCTTTGAAATCAGATCACCTGAATGTGGGTGTCTTTAACTATTAATCTAAAAAAGATTTGTTTCGAAAGTAATTCATTGTTACAAATTCAAGTTTCAGGAGTAGTTTATTAATGTGTACTTATGCCCTCAGGAGTAGTTAAGGGGGGTGTGTACTTATTTTGTTTTTGCTAAAGAATTTTCACTGCTTCTAAGAATGGCGATAGTGTAAAGATGGAAAAGTACGTGAGGGATGAAGAGGAGGAAGGAGGGGGGAAGAGGAAGAAGGGGAAAGAGGAGGAGGAAGGAGGGGGAAGAGAAGGAGGAGAAGTAAGATGATGATGATAAGGAGGAGGGATGGGAGAAGGAAAAAAAGGAAAATATGAAGGAATAGGAGGAGAAAGAGAAGAGAAAGATGAAAAGGAGGTAGAGGAAAAAGGGGGGAAATCACCAGAGAAATGAAGAGGGGGAAAAAAAGGAAGAGAAAAAATACGGAGATGAAGAAGTATGAATAAGAGATGATAATGGAAAAATAAAGTAGTAGTAATAAATAATTTCAAGCCACATGGAACAACGTCTTCTGTGATGAGTGAATCTTTGAAATAAAAACATTACGATGACACAGACAGACAGACAGACAGACAGAGGAGGGGGTTGAAAAAAAGAAAGGAAAATCGGTGACTCTAGTAAAAAACACGTGTTTTAATAGGCTACGAAAATTATATAAAACACAAATTAAAAAAAAAATATTTAGAAAGTGCAAAACCAAATAAACACTTCTAACACAGACACAGTATTAAGTAAAATAATAATCATTAGAAATTGAAGTATAAACATATAACGTAATAAAACAAATAACTATACAAAAAAAATAAGCTTATTTTTAAACAGATGGAATTGGTAAAGACAAAATATAAAACTTAAATTGCCAGAGATTTAAGCAAGCAGAGAGGTTAAAAACTGGTGTGGTAGTTTTACGTTTTCCTCAAACCAGGACAGGAGATGCTGCGTCACTCTAGATATTTATTATACAGAGTGAGAAGGTGAGAGAAACCTGTGGTAGAGAGAGACACAAGAAAACAGTGAGAGATAAGAGAAAAAATAATTAAAAAAAAACTTGAAGATTAATGATAACTGAAGAAAAAAATGAGAAATTTAATTGGAATGTTTTTAATTGTTCACTTCCGACGTCAAGGTAAATCAGGTCCTCGTGCCATAGGAAAGTCAAAGGAGTCATAAATCTTGACATAATTTAAAGAAAATATTCATTATCAAACTTGTCTGGGATCTCGTGACATACAGACATAACAAATTTACTTAAAGTCAATTATTCCGCGAGAGTTACCGTGTCCGTGACTCCCGGATACACGGACTGAAGCACGCAAGCATAGACGGGCTGAGACTTCACAAGCACGGACTGACAGATGGAGAATATATACTTTTAAGTCGGGAGAAGATTAGTTAGCACCAAAAGATAAGTGAGAGAAAGATCTGCTGTAAATATTGATAAAACGAGGAAGATCATATGGATATAGAGAGAGTGGCAAACTGAATGTATAATGTGTCTCAGAAAAATGCAAACACGCTCGTCTTCCACATTTCAGTGGTTATGGTAGTAACATTGTTGTCACTTGTTAATGTGTGAGGTCCCCCATAACGTTAAGGGACACCTTACACATCAGCAAGTGAGGAAAATGTATAATGCATAATAGTAATGACTTTAATAATGAAATATTATAGCTATAAGCAACAACTATTTCCCAGGTAAGTTAGAAGACGATTTTCTGATTAAGCAGGTGGTAAATGGGTCAACTTTTACCTGAAAAAATAAGGTAAACCTGATTGATAAGGGTAAATTAATCTCCTATGATCCTTCAATCCTCAGGCTGTAGTAAACCTGGTCTTATTCACACTAAATAAGATTAAGCAAATAAAAGTAAAGTAATTGTCGCCTTTACTCGGCAGGAGGCAATTCCTCCCCTTGACACTCTCTACGTCAAAATAGGTAAACATAGGTTAATCTCTCAAGCTTCAGTTTCACAGTGATAATCGATTCCTCCTCTCCTTTCTCTCCTCCAGATCAGGAATTGCTCATTATTCCTGGAGGTAAATGTCCTTCCTTCCCTTTCCCGTACAATCTTTAGTGGGTAACGTAACCATTTACTTTCACTCTCGTTATACCACACTCACATGTAAATTTCACCTCCCCCTCTTCCTGCTAAGGGGTAATAAAAGCTTTATAATGTTTGACAGTTGAGTGAACGGTGTTTAGTAATCTTGGCAACTGAATTACCTAAAACTAAGACCTAGGTAATGGTGCTTAATAATTCGTGTAGTAGAAATATCTAAAACTAGTAATGGTGTTTAATAATACTGGCAGTAGAAATTAAAACTAAGACCTAGGTAATGGTGCTTAATAATCCTGGCAGCTTAAGCACTAAAGAACGACAGCAATAGCAAGAGGATTCCAGGCTGGTATCGTATGGCGCCACGTAAAAACTCTACACATAAGTTTACCCTTGAACTATGATATTGGTGACTGATCTGACACACACTACCAATTCTACGGCATCTGTACTGACCTAATTTCTCCACAATAGGTTCTTATCATTACGTGATTTTTGTGTGTGTGTGTGTGGGGGGGGTATTTGGGGGTTGGGGGGTATTTGGGGGTTGGGGGGTATTTGGGGGTTGGGTGTATGACTAGCTACGTAATAAATTGAACAAGAAATAGCTCCCAGGGTTAAGTGAAAGTTTCCAAAAACAAGAAACTTTCTAATGACTAACTGACGCAAGAAGAAATCTTCTGAAGGTTATCGTACCCACATTGACTTCATAAAGAATTCACAATTACAAAAACATTAAGAGAATGCGTCACCTCCTCGTAAAGTCCTTGATCCTATTTCTCGGAGGATAGAAACAATGCCACACTCGTCCTATGGAACGCAAAACCGCATCCCAACCAGAAACAAAAAGGCACTTCAAAATTCGCGTGTCGAGGTGACTGAACCGTGTGGTTCCTTGGCTGAGCAGAGACCCTGAAGTCTGAAACTGAAAAAGCCAGAGAGGACAGACGTGCATTGAGGGGGAGGTTGTCGAAGCGTGAGGTCCTGGAGGGGTTGAGTTGGTATATATTGAACGTGCATCTCTGGATCTCTTCATTCTGGTTATTTTTCGAGGACCTTCTCTTCCTGTCCTGCACGATGGTGAGCTATTATTACCCTGTGTTTATTTTCACTTTCCTTCCTTCCTTCCTTCCTTCTTTCTTTCCTTCCTTCCTTCTTTCTTTCCTTCCTTCTTTCTTTACTCTCTCTCTCTCTCTCTCTCTCTCTCTCTCTCTCTCTCTTCCTTCTTTCTTTCCTTCCTTCTTTCTTTACTCTCTCTCTCTCTCGTTCTCTTTCTTTCTCTGAGAGTTCATTTTTTTCTTTCTGTATATTTTTCAATTACCCCCATCGACCAGAGTTAGGAAATATACAGAGTACCAAAGTGTATCTGTTTGTTGTGTTAAAGAGAAGGAGTCTCGAGTCGCAGGTTCCACACATTAATTACGAGTGTGACCAAGAGGAGTGAGATCAACCTCACAGGAAAACAAGAGTTAAAGTCATGGACGTGTTTGGGTTTGATAACTCCTTAATGATCTGATTGCTGTTGTTACTTGCTTTGTTCTGTAGCTAGAAGTGAGGATGTTTATTTTTCCTTTTACGTGAATTAAATTTAATGATGGTAAGAAAATAATTGTATATGTATTATGACATATTGTCTATTATTATTATTATTTTTATTATACTACAGCTTGATAAAACGAACCTGATAAAATCATTGATTCATTTTAATACTATAACTATGTGTATTCTTGGACAAATTTTACGAGCTGCCTTTATTACACTTAATTTCTCGTGTTGACAGAGGAGCTTGATGGTACTGCTGGCAGCGGTGTGTTTCTGCCGGGCCGCCAGGTTGGCTCCCGTCACTCCTAGTGGTCTTGCTGGCCTCGAATCTGGCCCCGAGTCCACCTCTAATGACCAGCTTGTCAGTGGCGGTCATGGGAATACTGGTTCTCATAGCTTCCCGGTTAGACAGGGTAGTTCAGATGACCTCCCGGCAGAACACGGTGCTACCGAGGACCCTTGGACAGGTCAAGATAGTTCAAAAGGTTTTCCGCCTCGACACAGGGCCACAGATGTTTCCTTAGCGGCTGGACAAGGTTATCCACAAGGTAAATCGGCTGAGCACAAGGTTTCACTAGACCTCACAGTAAGAAAAATACCTTCCAGTAATACTCAAAAGAATAAGAATTTCGAGGGAACCTCTATCAAGTCATCAGGTTCTTCTCCTGATGGTGGTCCCGTCACCGAAGTCACTAGAAGCAACCATAATGCCCCCAATAGCTTGGTCAGTGATGGATCAGCTAGTGCCGTCATCCAGACAGTTGGCACCTCCTACAACCTAGAGTTGCCCTTAGGATACGACTTCTCGGAGGGTTCTCCTGACGAAGATGACGATGGTTCATTAAAGGTGGTATCAAGCGTAAAGCACCGTGATGGTGCCGCTGTTGGAGGTAAGACTCCTGGTTTGATCATTCGAGGTCACGGTCTTTCAGGTGGAGGTCATGGGTTATTAGGGTCGACTAATGGAGGTCGAGGTACCATAGCTGTAGGTGTTAGGCCGCCAGAACTTATTGTTGGAGGTCATGACGCCTCAGCTGGAGGTCGTGGACGACCAATCCTTACCATAACAGGTCACGGAGGCTTGACTGAAGGCAGTGGGCCAACAGGCTTTACTACTATCAGTGGAGGTCACCGGATATCAGGTAGTGGTCAGGCGTCGTCAAGCTTTAATAGCGGAGGTCATGGTGGATTAGGTAGAGGTTATGGACCACCAGGATTTACTAGTGAAAGTCACGGGATGCAAGGCTTCCCTCACGGCGGAGTCGGAGGTTCACACCTTGGAGGTTCCTCAACAGGATTCGTCGGCGGCGTCCCCGGAGTGTCCCAGGGGGGTGCTAATGGCTACGGTAGACCAACTGTGAATGGAATCTTCGGAAATTTCTTCCCTACTGGATGTGGACTTTCTGGTCCGAGACCTGGACACGGGTTCAGTGGGCCACGTAGTTGGTACGAAGCCAATGGTTTCAACTGTGGTCATGAGACACGTGACTCGGAGGACAAGGGCTACGTTTATAGTTATGGTAGATAAAGTGTGTAGTAGACATTAACTTAAGAATCCTAAACATCAGATATATGTGGATATGTGTGTGTGTGTGTGTGTGTGTGTGTGTGTGTGTGTGTGTGTGTCATACCTATTGCATGCAGTGTAAAGATAATTGAGTAAATAACGGTAGATGCAATACAAATTATATATATATATATTTTTTTTTTTAATTTGAACTGATGTAATACAGGAGCAGTAATGCAGAGAACTAAAACACAAGCTGTCAAATAATTTCATCAATAATAACGCTATCTTGAAAAAGTTTGATTATATCAAAATACAGGAAGGATGTCTACAGCTACTTTCCCATAATTACAGTCAATCACGTGGAAACTGCAACAAAAAGTTCTGGTTGAGACATGTGGAAGCCCCTCCGTAGTAAACACTCGGAGGGGATCCTAATGTTTCCACACACCAGAACATAATAATGTAGTTCCCACTTTGCTGACTATGTATTAATATCCACGAATTTATGAGAAAAATAATGTATATTTCCGCAGAGGATACTTTTACGTTTTAAGAATTAGATGAACGATTATCTCTAAGAAACATCAGAATATATACATATTCCTTTAAGAAAATATCAACGAGGCAGTAAGGAGTAATCCTAAGTTTGTAAGGCAGGAGATCTGATGCAGAGACTTACATAGGGAAATATTACAAGATGCTAAAAGCGACGTCCTGGGGAGAATTTTTTATATCATATAAATAAACAATGGTGTGGATCTCAAGGTACATGTGACTTGCATCTATAATACGGACATTTATTATAGATTATAAAAACTATATTGCGGAGGTTTATAAGAGAGCGTCAGCTGATTGTGGAACTGAATTATTATGTAATAGTATATCTTCTTACATTTCATTTTAGGTTATTTGTTATAAAAAGAAAGATTTTGATTATGGTAATGATAAAAATAACACCAATAAAAGTTATAAAAACAAAACTATTAATAATATTAACAACAAATAAACACCATTATAGGTGATATTGTTATATTTGTAATTCATAATAATTTAAATATTTTGCTACAATTAGTGTTCTTGTTATAATAACCACACTAGCCCTATAAAATACTGGTAAAAAAGCAGAGTATATATTAATTTGACTGTCAACATTATTTATCACTGCCACGGATATCATTGTAGTAGTACACGAAATAGTGATAGATGCAGCAGTAGTGTTGTTAGTAATCATATTATTATTTCAGCAGTATTAGTTGTAGTGACATTATCATCACAAAGCCAAATAATATTTTATGAAGGACTTTAAGTTGATCAGTACCAATATATTTTAAGCATGTTTACTTGACAATAAATTCACTATTTTAGCAGTCGAAATACTATTATTTATTACTAAATTTAATAGCATTAGATCTTGATGTTACAATTTCGATAAATAGCATTTTTAATGACTCAAAAAATATGACTTGTCCTTAAGTATTACTGATATGCAAGTCAGTTATATATTATTACTATTATTATTATTATTATTATTATTATTATTATTATTATTATGTCTAGCATCAATATTGTTAGTATATTTAACTTCTCACATAAAGCTATAATTATTCACAGCTTTTAAATCTTTAGTATCATGTTTGCGTAGATTACTTCAGGTTCATAAAGCTTACACAAATATATAGGAACACATGTTATCTTATTTTCTCTCTCATTACAAGTCAACAGGAATGATACACCATGAATCAGCAAATATCCCCAAAACGAAAATATATTGATATAGTTTTTAAACCCATTTGCTTTCACTTTACCATTGCCACTAGTAAGAACCATGGCCAGAACTTTTATCACGTAGCAGGTGTGTGTGTGTGTGTGTGTGTAAAGGAACAGATAGAGAAGTTTGTAGTCTATGATAAGGGATGATAAGGCAGGTTTAGGTTATGCTTGCATGACTTTACGAGGTACTTGTTCTGGTATTCATGGCAGTTGTGAGTTTTTGTACTGTTGAAGTGTTGAGTTATTTAGTGTGTTTGTTATATTGTTGTTTAATTTGCTTAGATTAATTTTTATAGTTATTGTTTATACCATTGGTATTATTATTAATGATACAACAACAACAAGAACTACTACTTCTACTACTACTACTACTACTTTATTTTTTTTACGTGGCCTCCAGCCTCCCCCAATAACCACACCTTCGCCACCATTTAATTACCTTAAAATCAAATATCCTAATACATAAGAAGCTATCCTATATGTGTTAAATTAGTTGAGCCGCAGATCTATGCGGCATTCGGTGACAGTAGCCTCATAGTCAATATCTGCAGCAGTTGTCGGAGTTGGGGCAGAAGCTCTCGTTCCCCTGAGGCAGAGCAAGGCCGATCGAAGGAGAGAGAAAGACAGTCGACATCTCATCCAGGCTGTAACATAACTTCTGGGCTGCTGTTTCTGTTCGGAGATCACCTCCGCGAGTCTGGCGTAAAAACATCTTGCACTTGGTCCCATCCCACCAGAGGTTGTGAACACTAGAGGAGTGAAGCTGCCTTGATCAACGTTTTGAATTCTCTCCCCATATGCCCTTCTCTTGTCGTTTCGTTCCTCCTATGTGCAGCATCGAGAGCTAGGTTACGGTGACATGCGGCCATGGGATCAAAAATCCTGATGTCGAAGAAAGCTCGCTGTCCCCGTCCCAGAATCCTCGAGCACTGACGTCCACACGGGCTTCGTTAGATGTGTTTGAAGTCCTGTGTTGGAAGATCTCGCCATCCAATGGAAGGAGGGTCGGTTCTACCATGACGTCCCGGCAGATTTCCTTCAACATATTTGCTGTGAGATCCCTTACCTCGTCATGCCTCATGCATATGAAGCCCCCCTTCTTGCACACCATGGCGTGATCGCCATCATAGGAAGAGCCACACACGCATTGGGAGGGCAAACCTTCTACTGGCCGACCGTACCTTAGAGCAATGGCATCTGTAAATTCTTGTTTATTAAGACTGAAACCATTTGCCCTTATCGGTAACGTAGTTAACCAGTTCGAGGCGCCCACCTCCTGCGCTATAGCTACTTTTTTTCAAATTTTCTGGTACCTGCAGCAACAGTTGCTGCAACTTATCATTTTGGCAGTGCTGTCGATCTGTCGTAATGGACCTACGAATCTTATTTACTTCACTGGTATCCACTTCCCCTGTTGCATTCTGGGCTATTATGTGGTCCGTGAGGGCTGCCGTGAGCTTAAGTGAATTTTGATGTTCAGTGGCAGCAATCTCCTCTGGATTTGTTAGTCCCATCCCTCCCAGTCTTGATGGAAGTGCAAGAAGTGCTCTTTCTGCTGGGGTTAAGTCAGGGTGTTTACTACTACTTCTACTACTACTACTACTACTTAATTTAATTTCGTGGCCTCCAGCCTCCCCCAACAGCCACACCTTCGCCACCATTTAATTACCTTAATATTAAATATCCTAATGCATAAGTAGCTATCCTATCTGTGTTAAATTAGTTGAGCCGCAGATCTATGCGGCATTCAGTGACAGTAGCCTCATAGTCAATATCTGCAGCAGTTGTTGGAGTTGTGGCAGAAGCTCTCGCTCCCCTGAGGCAGAGCAAAGCCGACCGAAGGAGAGAGAAAGACAGTCGACATCTCATCCAGGCTGTAACATAACTTCTGGGCTGCTGCTTCTGTTCAGAGATCAACTCCGCGAGTCTGGCGTAGAAACATCTTGCACTTGGTTCCATCCCACCAGAGGTTGTGAACACTAGAGGAGTGAAGCTGCCTTGATCAACGTTTTGAATTCCCCAATATGCCCTTCTCTTGTCTTTCTTCGTTCCTCCTATGTGCAGCATCGAGAGCTAGTTTACGGTGACATGCGGCCATGGGATCAAAAATCCTGATGTCGAAGAAAGCTCGCTGTCCCCGCGTCCAGAATCCTCGAGCACTGACGTCTACACGGGCTTCGTTAGATGTGTTTGAAGTCCTGTGTTGGAAGATCTCACCATCCAATGGAAGGAGGGTCGGTTCTACCATGACATCCCGGCAGATTTCCTTCAACATATTTGCTGTGAGATCCCTTAACTCGTCATGCCTCATGCATATGAAGCCCCCCTTCTTGCACACCATGGTGTGATCGCCATCATACTACTACTACTACTACTACTACTACTACTACTACTACTACTACTACTACTACTACTACATACTAATACTAATACTAATACTAATACTAATACAATACAATTAATAAATAATAATAATAATAATAATAATAATAATAATAATAATAATAATAATAATAATAATAATAATAATAATAATAATAATAATAATAATAATAATAATAATAATAATAATAATAATAATAATAATAATAATAATAATAATAATAATAATAATAATAATAATAATAATAATAATAATAATAATAATAATAATAATAATAATAATAATAATAATAATAATAATAATAATAATAATAATAATAATAATAATAATAATAATAATAATAATAATAATAATAATAATAATTATAATTATAATTAATTATAATTATAATTATAATTATAATTATAATTATAATTATAATAATAAATAATAATAATAATAATAATAATAATAATAATAATAATAATAATAATAATAATACTAAGAATGATAACTTTGTGCAGTTAACTCTGAAAGTATCAGTTCTTGTACCTAAATGAACAATATAAAACAAAATAAAATGAAATTCAAATTATATCAAAGACAAAATTTCCTTGTTAAAATAGATGAAAATATTTGAACCTAGACCTTTATACCATCAGGAGGAATATTAACAACATGACTGAGGGAAACTAAAGACACTTGACACTTTCCACTTATTGATGACACAAACGAACAATGGCCCGAAGAAGAATCACTAAGTGGTAGTCTTTCCCGATGACACAAACGAACAAAGACCCGAAGAAGAATCACTAAGTGGTAGTCTTTCCCGATGACACAAACGAACAAAGACCCGAAGAAGAATGACTAAGTGGTAGTCTTTCCGATGACACAAACGAACAATGACCCGAAGAAGAATCACTAAGTGGTAGTCTTTCCCGATGACACAAACGAACAAAGACCCGAAGAAGAATCACTAAGTGGTAGTCTTTCCCCACTTTAGAAATACAGAAGAGATGTTTTTCTAAGTATATGTAATCATAATCTTTATTGCCACACTTACCATCGATATATAACTTATGTTTACTGACCATTACTGTATTTCTCATTCCTTCTAAAATTATTTATGTGTAATAACTCTTGACCAATTGACACATTTCTAATTTATTGGAAATGACACGTTAACAAATAAACTTTGTGAATGATGCTACTCTACTCAACTTTGACACCTGAATCACGTAAAACTAAGACCTAATAACCCTGACACCTGAAGCACTTAAAACTAAAACCAAACCCTGACACCTGAAGCACTTAAAACTAAGACCTAATAACCCTGACACCTGAAGCACTTAAAACTAAAACCTAATAACCCTGACACCTGAAGCACTTAAAACGAAGACCTAATGACCCTGACACCTGAAGCACTTAAAACTAAGACCTAATAACCCTGACACCTGAAGCACTTAAAGACCTAATACGACACCTGAGCATAAACTAAACCATAACCCTGACACCTGAAGCACTTAAAACTAAGACCTAATAACCCTGACACCTGAAGCACTTATAACTTTAGACCTACTGAACGACGCTTACCCAGACAACGACAATTAATAAGGACAGCGTATAACTCCTTTCCGTTCATCAAACTGTACCACATGGTCTGTTTGCATTCAACTCACGTCTCGAAAACGATTAAGCTGGTGGTCGCTCCCTCTCCTTTACTGTTTCTCCCTCTCCTTATTTTCGCTTGTCACTTTATTCTTCTCGCTTTTCTCTGTCTATTTTTTCTCTTCGTTTACCTGTGGCTTTATATCACTCGTCTTATGTATGAATGTATGAATATACTGTATATCCGGTACAGTACTTCACTTGTTTATTTAATTCGTTGTATACCTGTTTTGTTTGTATGCATATATAAATGCAGATAAATTTAAGAGCACTGCTAATAATTCACATATCTAATATAGACCATTAATGTTACTGTAAAAGCGTAAGTTATCTTCGTTCAGTTATCTTTTATTATCAGTATTGAAACACAAAATCTTACATTTATTTATCCTTTTCTTTACGTGTACATCAACGTATAATAATAGGTTAAACTACTTGAACTTAACTAATACTTATATAAGTTCATTTAAAACTAAATAAAATAAAGTTTGTTCTTTTTTAAAGTGAAAGCATTTCATATATGAATTTTTTCTAACCGATAGAAAGTCCCAAGTGGTGAAATTTTATTATAGTTTCTGCTTTTCCTAGAATTCTTAAGTGTAAATATTATAAGCAAGATATTAGTGTTATATGATTAATAAGTATGCATGATATCACAAGAAGGACATGCCAACCGAATGCCCATCTACGTTGGGCCTGCCTGGAGAGTTGTGGGCGTCACTTAAGACTGGCAGTGGGCGTGGTTTAGCAGCGTGACCTGGCCAGAATGCAGATGGAAAAGGATGGTTCCTGGGAGGTATATAAGGGCTCATCACCTCCCAGGTACCATCACACTAAACTTACTTCACAAGCCCCTGACAACAACCATGGTGAGTGAGGTTCTCATTTCGTCTCTTGGATCAGCACTAGTGATAAGTCTGCATATTGGAAAACGTTGTAGTAAAATGTTCAGAATCTGATACGGAATATTTTCTTCACACAACTTTAAGTCAACACTTATCACAATACTGTGAAGTGGGCCATTGACAGTGAGTGTAGATTCAGAAACAGGAAAATAATTCACATTGTTGGGATTCGTGTGTGTGTGTGTGTGTGTGTGTGTGTGTGTACGGTCAGCCACAGGATTAAATATACAGCTATGGTTCGTTTTCGGAACAAAATATCTGGTAACACTGTCCTGAACATAATAGATAAAATAACAAAATGACCAGTAATTTATGTTTTATATTTACATATATGTTATAAATAACGGTGTGAATATTTTAGTCGTGTCTTGGTATAAATTAACAGTAATATATAGTATCCAATGATATTAAATTTGTTGCCGAATGGGTTTGAAGTTGTCTTACAGCCCCCACCTCCATTCTCTCCCCTTTTTCCTCCACACCTGTCTATCCCGTCTTTCCCTCCCTTCCCGGATTTACCTCTCATTCTCCATCTTTACTTTTCCCCACATCCTCCATCTTCTTTCCACGCCGCCACTGAGGAAATGCAGCGATCGTATCAAAATGCATTTGAACAATTAACCAGTTACAAAAAAGTCCATCACTACGATGACGCATTAATTATTTATTACGGGTAATGCCTGATACCTTAGGCTGTTTCATAGTCAACCACTATTCTGACTAGGTGTGACTCCAAACCCTCCCCGTATCACGTCTTCCCAACCAGCCATTCCCTATCCCGCACACTCCGTATTTTCAGTCCCCATTTACCCCAACACATTTATTGTTTCGATTGATTGAACAGTTCAGTAAGACATTGGATAACTCATTGATTTTATGAATTATGCCCGAATTCAGCCATGGCCGTAAGAGACTCACACTGTTTCGTAATTTATCAAATGCTTCGAATCTTGAAACCTAGTCGATAATTGAGTTATAACCTGACTTGTTAGATAGGACTTTTTATTGAGAAATAGATTAACCTCTTGTCTACGGGAGAGCCTTGCTTAAACCAAATCATATTTCTTTGCCGTCGTTAACAACATTAACACTTACAACAGCAGTCAGAAACAAAAAGTTAGGTCATTCTATCCACTGGGCTATGTGCTGATAATGTAAATGCAAATTAGGTTTCGAGTTATTATATAGGAGAGAGAGAGAGATAAAAAATAGAAAGGATGACTATAAATTATGGGAATGTGCTAAGGAGGGTGGGAGATAAGTGAAGGAAGGCGAGATGGAAAAGGAGGGAAGGAGAGCTGTTTCATTGTGCGTCTTGGCAGTTCCTATGTTTCCAGACCATTTTCGGGCCTGACACCTACAATGTGTATACTTATTCCTGAGGCCGACTGTACATGTGTGTGTGTGTGTGTATGTGTGTGTTGGGCGTGGCTTGTAGTTAAACTTACTGTTTACTTAACTTAACTTATTATTTGCACTTAATAATGTTTAGATACATTTCAAAGTGGATTTATTTTCGTATAATCTGATGGCGAGTCGATCATCTTTTATCCAGATTCTGCTGTTGTTGACGACCCTCCTGCTCGGGCTCACCTGTGCTGATCATCCCGTCTTATCTACTAGCTACGGCGCTCCCGGGTCATCACAGGCAAGCTTATCAGGAGTCAATACTGGGGCTTCCTTCAGCGGTTCATCAGCCGGCCATGCATCTGCTTCGGGATTTACAAATGGTCAAATTGGCTTCACTGGCGGCTCCTCAGGGGAACGATATGAAAACTCTGCTGAACATTTTTCCACGGGGAACAATGGAAACTTTCATGGTGGTTCCTTTTTCGGTGGTTCAAGAGTAGGTCACAGGGGCTCTATTCCCGTGTCTGGTTCTGTCAGTAGTTCCAATGGTAACGTATACAGAGGCGGTTCATCATCTTCTTCAGGGTTTTCACAGAGTGGGTCGTCTGCAGGCCACTTCGGATCCTCAGGGTTTTCTAATGAAATCCAAGGGGCGTCCTTCAGAGGACCTGCTGGCGGGGGGTACAGTGGTCTTTCTTCCAGTGGAATATCAAGTGACTTCTCTATTAACGGTCATGGAGTTTCTTCGGGTATTTCAGGAGGAACCGCCCAAAGACCGGCAGGAGGTTCCAACAATGGTGGTTCATTTGGAAGTCAAAGGCCGCAATCTGGTGTTTCACAAGGATTCTCTACGGGCGGTCATGGCGGATCCCACGGAGGCTCCAGCGGTACAGCATCCTACAGCGGTGGCTCGTCCAGAGATCAAGGATCACGTGGTGCATTTTCCTCCAATGGTGCTTCAGGATCTTCTCATGTAGGTTTCAGCCAGCAGTCCTCATCATCTGGCTCCTTCTCTTCAGGCCATGACGCCGGGTTCTCCAGCCAAGCACCCAGAGGAGGATCTTATAAAGGCAACTCCTTTGGTAGTTCTTCCTCCTCAAGCTTCCAAGGTGGCGCTGTTGGGTCTGGAGTCAGTAACAACTTCGCGTCATCTCGCCAGTCTTCTGGAAGGTATCAAGGCAGTTCAAGCAGTGGTCTGAGTTCTTTTGGCAGTGTTGGTGGTAATGGTGGTGGTTCTTTTGGCGGTGTTGGCGGTATTGGCGGTGGTTCTTTTGGTGGTGTTGGCGGAAGCGGCGTCTCACAAGGTTACACCAAGCCATCAAGAGCAGCAGCTTCTGGTTCTGGGTTTTCTTCTCCATCCGGATTCTCTGCCGGGACTTCTGGACACTTTGCTAGCCCCAAGGACATTCTCAGTCTGGACAGTCAGCTGGAACAAATGGATATCCTGCTGGCGGTCAAAGGGGTCCTTCTTCACGCCCTGCCCCTAGTAGTTCTTATGGCGTTCCTGGTGGTTCTAATGGTCAAGGTGATACGTCATCAAACCTTCAGATCATCAAGTCTCTCGGAGGCCGTGTGGACCTTCCTGGTGTTAGTGACAACTATCACTAAATGTTGCCATGGTAAAGCTTTGTATAATTGCATGCCTAAAGAAAAATACTAACATTACATTTACGTCTTGGAAGCTTGTAGCTCCCTTGATTTATATTTCAAACAAAATTTAATTTGAAAAGTATATGACTGAGTTTAGACTAACCTTTGCATTATATATATTTCATATAACACACAAAAAATGTACTTGCTGCAAGCCAGATTACTTTTTATATTAGGAAATAAAATGCAAAATACAACATGTGTATTATTCATGAATTCCAAGATAAGTGGATAAACCTGTAGACTATATGTGAGGCCCAGTCCAGGATCTTTGTAGTCTTAGTGATGCTCATGTCTAAATAGAATAATTCTGATATGAAAATTCTTCCAAAAGTTAATCCTACACTATCATGGAACGTGTGAGATCTGCTCCTTCACCTAATCAGACAAAGAGTAGAAGGGACTATTATGACATACGCAATGAAGTTGTTTAAGTTAATTGGTTATAGCAGTAATTATGGTAAATGGGAGTGGTATTGGCTGCTCTAGAGGACGTGTTTGTCATCATGTAAATTGTTTTATAACAAAGGATCGCCGAGTGTTAAATATATTCTGAACTGTATTTGGTGTTGTGACTGATCAATTAAATTATCTTCACTTTGGTTCCTACGTTTAACAAACACCAACAAGTTATAAGTATAATGCTGGAACACCAAAAAAGTTATATCTATAGGAGCCATATATAAATTACGGTGTCACCCCAGCTACCAAAGTTGTCAATAGCAACCCCAGCATGGCGCCCACTTCCGGCACATTGCGGCAGACGTAACGCCCTACACTGAATATCGCACAACTGACTGAACCTAAAAGACCATCATTTCAAGGTAACAAAAAAAAATCAGTACTGCTGCACATTCACTCAACAAAGCCACGTTTCACTCATTCAAGTGAATATCTTGATAGATGCTGACCCGAGCCACACACCCTCAAGTGGATGATACCAGGACACTCCAGCCACACACCCCTCTAGTGCGGATGAGATACCAGCATCCAGGCACACACACCCTCGAGTGGATGACCAGGACCCAGTTACACTCGAGGATGATGCCAGGACCCAGCCACACACCCTCGAGTGATGATACCAGCATCCAGCCACACACACCCTCGAGTGGATGACATACCAGGACCCAGCCACACACCCTCAAGTGGATGATACCAGACCAGGCCACACACCCTCAAGTGGATGAGATACCAGGACCTACAGCCACACACCCCTTCGAGTGGATGATGCCAGCATCCAGCCACACACCCTCGAGATGATACCAGGACCCAGCCACACACCCTCAAGTGATGATACTAGACCCAGCCACACACCCTCGAGTGGATGATACCAGGACCCAGTCACACACCCTCGAGTGGATAATACCAGGACCCAGCCACACACCCTCGAGTGGATGATACCAGGACCCAGCCACACACCCCTCGAGTGGATGATACCAGGACCCAGCCACACACCCTGAGTGGAGGATACCAGACCCAGACACACACCCTGAAATGGATGATACTAGGGACCCAGCCACACACCTCGAGTGGATGATACCAGACTCAGCCACACACTCTCGAGTGGATGATACTAGGACCCAGCCACACACCCTCCTCGAGTGGAGATACTGACCCAGCCACACACAACCTCGAGTGGATGATACCAGGACCCAGCCACACACCCTCGGGCGTGGATGATACCAGGACCCAGCCACACACTGAGTGGATGATACTAGGACCCAGCCACACACTCGAGTGGGAGGATACTAGGATTCCAGTCACACACCCTCGAGTGGATGATAACAGGACCCAGCCACACACCTCTAGCATGATAATTAGGACCCAGCCACACACACCCTCGAGGGATGATAACAGGACCCAGCCACACACCCTCGAGTGGATGATACTAGACCCAGCCACACACACCTCGAGTGGATGATACCAGGACCCAGTCACACACCCTCGAGTGGATGATACCAGGACCCAGCCACACACCCTCGAGTGGATGATACCAGGACCCAGCCACACACCCTCGAGTGGATGATACCAGGACCCAGTCACACACCCTCGAATGGATGATACCAGGACCCAGCCACACACCCCTCGAGTGGATGATACCAGGACCCAGCTACACACCCTGAAGTGAATATACCAGGACCCAGTACACACCCTCGAGTGGATGATACCAGGACCCAGCCACACACCCTCGAGTGGATGATACCAGGACCCAGCCACACACCCTCGAGTGGATGATACCAGGACCCAGTCACACACCCTCGAATGGATGATACCAGGACCCAGCCACACACCCTCGAGTGGATGATACCAGGACCCAGCCTGAAGAATCGTTACGACCAGTAAGTATACAGCACAAATTGGCCGGCACTGCACTCGACCACCTTCACTTTGTCCAACTGTAAAGTTAGGTACTCAATCACAGATGGGTGAATTATGGATGCCTCGAGTGTGAGCGAACAAGTTTATATGTTTTCTGCTCATAGGCGGAAAACATAATCGGCAGATTCAACAGGATGCAGCCCTGTGCTTCAAATTCCATTAAAAAAAATCAATTTCAGTTTTCTTCTTTGGTTGTGGCCCTAAAAACTGAAAAGTCTACGGTGAACAAGACAACGTTGGGGAAATTCGTGCCTGCCAGGGAGCACCATATTTCACGACGATATAATATTATTCTATTTGAAAAACAAAACAAAACATTCAAGTAGGAATATTGTGTTTCCTTCTAAAAATATGAGAAGGATCACAAAGATCAGACAATCTAGATTCAGTACGATGTTGTAAAAAAAGTACAATGAAATATTACTTTTGAATATTGTGATACACTTTAGACCCGATCTTTGGTAATCACAAGAAAAAATTATAAACTTGCCAGTTCTATGAGGATGCATGATACTGGAATGGAAAATAACTTAAAATTTCAAAGTTTCGGAAGTTGATTGACTTAATGATATACGCAAATCTCTATCTAGAAAAACACTGGATCAAGAAAATTTCCCGAGTGACTTTATACAGCAAACGTGATTCCGATCTGCAACACGGGAGGTAACGGGAACTTACTCAGTTAGCGGAGACATAAGACTCCCGAGTAAGTAAAAAAAAAAAAAAAAAAGATAGCTGATGTATAAAACTAAATTGGACATACCTGAAGTGTGAAACGTTGTGATGTGTGCCGGTCCCTCGATGAGCTGTTAACTTTCACCTACCTGGAAAAAACACACAAAAACACATTAGATTAACCTTCCATCCCGCTTTACTCCTATAGTTTATTTTGTGTAATAGTCGTCACTTATACCGTGTTATATATTGGGAAGGATCTCAAGGATGTGTTTGTTTTAAATGTAAGGTAATGGTGGAGGCGACAGCTAACACCAGAAGCAGTTGTTAGATTTCGTTCATTTTTTCCACATGACTGTAAGTAATACAAACGATACGACAACGCACAAAACCTAAAAAGCCTGACCTAACAAACCAAACCTACCTAACTTTACCAAACCTACCTAACCTTACCAAACATACTTAACCTGACCTAATCTCCTAACCAACGGGCGGAATCCCTCGGACCCCCGGCACATTAAGCAGAAGTAACTTAGTTTGATACCTGGTAGGCTGGTACCAATTATAGTAATTTTCTTGAAGCGGAATATGTAATGTTATGTTTTATTGTGATCGTAAAAATATGATCGGTGTGTTGCACTGAAACACAAAGTACTTTTTCAATGTCAGTTTTCTGTTGCATTTTGAGCACTTGCACGTCCTGCCAATTAGTTCATGTTGACTATGAGCTGTTGGAGACGGTCTTCATCCTCCACAATCACAGATAAATTGTGATATTATTTGCACAACCTATAATCATGAGACTATAACATCTGAATAAAAACCCCAATGTTATGCTCCTTTGTTTTGTTAATTTCCAAGTGAAGAAATTCCCGATTCAAAAGTTATTAGTTTAACTGCAAACATAAACACGCGGCACCATGGGAAAAGTTATTGGAGGAATATTTACGGTAAGTAATTAATTTCATTGCCTACAAAGTACGCAGAGATGAAATGACTGTCATATGATTAGTTTTTCAGTACGTCCCCTCAATTTCCATTATCTTTCATGCCCTGCTGGCAGATTGAGACTGTACCTCACAGAGTGTGACAGTAGGCACCAAGCAATGAGCCTACTATCTATTACCCATGGCCCTGTGTTAGTTAATCCATAAATTAACCCAGCAGAGTGATATTTTCTTTATAATAAATAGAAAGGGATGCTAGTGTTCAACTGAAACTTTCAGGTGTATTACTGATGACTCCTGGCAAACCTATCAGGACGTAATATCTACAATCAGCAAAGTAGGACAGTGGTAAAGACTACATACTATTTTATTTCTTCACCACAAAGTTACATGAAACAGTTCTCAGGTTGCTTATCATCTATCCATAATCTTACTGTCTTCAATGAGACAGGGGCTAATATAATAATCCAAACGATAACTGTGGAAAACATTAACAAAATCGAACAACTGCTTCTGCCATAAGCCATCTCTTCCACTATTACCTAAAGTAAAAATGTTCTTGCAAAATGACAACAGCTGGTGGGGCTCCAACAATTAGCGACAGCAACCAACCTAATCACTAGATACATAAGATCGTAAGTTTGGTGTAGTTGGTTCGTGCTTTCTGTCAGCATTAGTCGTTTACACCCTCAGCCTTTCTGGGAAAGTTTTGGTGACAAGATCATAAAATTCTGAAGTAATACTGTATGTATTTTACATTCCTATATTTTTTCTGGCTCACCTATTGGATAAGTATCTATGCATTACAACACTTGCTGTACATCCCCCCAAAAAGTGGTAACCCTCTTCTTGATCTGTACCAACAACATTATTTCACTCTTGAACTCACAGGAACACCCTGATACTAACAATATCTTAAATTAAAACCAAAAATTAATAGACACTTGTCCACCGTGTCTTAGTAAGTGTAGCAGAAGTAGTGCTCACCTTGCCCTGGTGGTAGAGGAAGCCTTGACATTGCCAGCTATGTCTTGGGCCAGGGACCATCCTGCCTGAAAAAAACAAAAACATTCATGAATGAGGTCATTATTCTGCTTTAAATAATCTAATTATATACACCTTCATTTAAATTTAAACACAAGAAATGGTGGATACTTCCAACTCTCAATAATGATCAGTACAGAACCTCAATATAA